GCTCAGATTCCAAGTTTGGTGATCAGCGACGATTCCAGATTCCAAAATTCTGGAATTTGCTGACCTGCTAAAGACGCCGCCGGGAATGAGACATTGGCTTCAGGAATTCGGGAATCTGGAATTCGGGAATATGGAATTCGGGAATCTGGAATTCGGGAATCTGGAATTCGGGAATATGGAATTCGGGAATCTGGAATTCGCGAAGCTGGTCCGCGGAAATGACGCCGGAAGTTTCGACCTGGAATCGGGAATTGGCTAAGAGCGATTTGAAATGGGAATGAGGGATGACGTCAGGAATGGGAATGGCTGGTCGATATTATTGGCGGCGGTGGGATTGTGTTGATAATATTGGGAGTGGGAATGGGATTGGATGACGCGCTCTCGTGGGGACAACAGCGATGGGAATTCGGGAATGGGAATTTTTTTGGATTATGATTACCGGGAATGGGAATTGTTTCATGTGTATTTGTGTGTCTTGTGTGATTGGATGTGTGGTTGTGGGCGGGCGAAATGGTATTACCGGGTGTGTGGATGATGGGAATGCATGTCTGGAACGGGAAAATTTGGAATCCAAGCTTCGGGAATGGGAATCACAGTTTCTGAATCGAAAAACCTTAGCATTCCTGTTATTTGTTTTATAAAAAACAAACATTTAGGAATTTTTGCAGTTTTTTCGTATATATATCATGATTCTGAGATTTGAACCTGAATTGGTGTCTTTAACCCTGGTTAGTGACACACTAACCCTGACTAGTGACACACTAACCCTGGTTAGTGACACACTAACCCTGACTAGTGACACTCTAACCCTGACTAGTGACACACTAACCCTGGCTAGTGCCGCACTAACCCTGACTAGGGACACGCTAACCCTGACTAGTGACACTAACCCTGACTAGTGACGCACTAACCCTGACTAGGGACACGCTAACCCTAACTAGTGACACTAACCCTGACTAGTATTCATCATCATCATCATCATCAAGGTAGGGTTAGGCTTGTTGTTTCTGCTCCTACTTACTGACTATTATTTAATACTATTACTATTACTAATATATATTGTTATCTTATTATATAACTATTATTATTTCTATAGGTATCATTATCATCTTCATTTTTATTAATGTTAATAATTTTTGCTCTTATTTTGTTCGTAGTATTATTATTTCTATTGTTTATTATTATCATATTTATTATTGTTATTGTTAACGAATAATTGATTTTATTAATAATATAATCATTTCATCACTGTGATATTATTGTTATCATTATTAATATTATACAACGTAGTTTGTTATTATTAAATAAGAGCGCCTAAATACCAGCACCAAGCTCTTCATTAGCGTTATTTTTATCTCTAATAAGTCATTGATTTTATTAATAATATAATTATATCATCATTGTAATATTATTGTTATTATTTATATTATTAAGTATATTTTTATTATTAAATAAGGGCGCCTAAATAAGGACCGACACCTAGCGTCAGTCCTTCACTCCTGCTCCATTAAGGAGCGTCCGCTGCTACTTAAATCAGCGGCTATTTAAAGGGCCGGATGCCCCCCCCCCCTCCACCCCCACTCCCCTTCTACAC